CCCCCCCCCCACCACCAACAGGCTGCCTTGGGACCAGATACAATCCTGAAGTTTCTCCACATTAGTACTTCTATCAAGAGTGACTGCCAGACTGGAGAGCGTCTCTTATCACATTTTGAAGGGGCCAGGCCCTCCCTCTTAGTGCAAGTTGTTTAACAGTTTATAAAGCATGTGCGTCTCAGTAGCTTCCTCATCCCCACATCTTCCCAGGGTTTCCCCTCATCCAGCAAAAACCTTTTATTGCCACCTATTCTTGCAGAAGCCAGAAACCCCTTTCCCAGAGGCCAGAGCCTTTCCATCTTCGTTTCCTTTCCATCTTGGCAAGGCAGGATCCCAGTGCCTGGAAGCGAACAGAGGCAGCTATTCCTCTGGGAACAGGGATAACGAGGAACAACATTCGGGAGAGGACATTGCCTAAGACACACCTGGGTGACTAAACACTTGCAAGAAACCAAAGACCACTCCAGGTGTAGAAACTATAACCCTACAGACATGAAGGCATGTTCATGGGGCAGTTACTCCCAATCTGGCATTCTCTTCTGAAAGAATGTCCTGCTAAATGGGCTCTTATGAAACAGTCAGTGGATTGCGAGCTTGTCCAGGTGAATACCCTCCCACCTGTCCCCCCCCCAGAAGATCTAAGTGTTTCCAGGATTCATAAAGGACCCATGGTTTGCCACTCCATCTGTGTACACAGGTGGGGAGCATGACAGCCAGCCAGGCACGGAACAAACCATAGTCTCTAAGGTCCTCACCTGACTCATTTGGCCCTCCTCCTGACAGAATGGCTCTCCTTCCTCTCTGCTCAACAGCAGCCAGAGAAGGCAGGCTTAGCTTTCAAGAGCCTGCTCCAGGCCACAGGGGGAAAAAAAACCCAGGCTACTCAGACATCTCTGCAAAAACAAGGCTTGGCAGCAAAGAAACCAGACACAGGCAGAAAGGAATTTAAATTCAAATTGAACAAGGGGCTGGATCCTTTATTCAGTATAAGCCCCCTGAAGGCCTGATTTCCTCAAAGAACAAAAAAAAATCCCTTTTAAATCCTATCCCCTTTCCCTGGAAAAGGAGAGGAAACATTCCAACTAACTAGTACCTTATACAAGGCGACAGTCATGTAAAACAGTTCTTTCGAATTAACTCCTTCCTGCTCAGTCTCCTGTTTAGGGTGTGACTGCTTCCCAGTGTCTTTGGGTGTCTGGGCCATGTAGGGCAGCAAAGCGTAGGCTTCCGGGAGAGCCATGTGTAAGAAGATGACAGTGTCAGGTCTAAGTATACTCACCACTGAGCTGTGATTTTCCATTTGCCCCTTGCTCCCCCAAGGTCCATTCTCTGCCCTTCTCTGCCACGTTCTGTGCCAAAGCTGACCTCAATGGACTGTAGCAATAGGCTTCCTTGCCAGCTGGCATCTGGCTGGGTCTGGCTAATGGTGGGCACTGGCAGGAGATCAGAGTGGTAAGAGAGTGAGATATATAGATTTCATGCCCCTGTATCCCTCCCAGCTGTGTGGCATTTAAGCAGAGCCCACATCGTGCAACCTAAAGCCACAGCTGTTACACAGCAGCCCCCAGTGTGCACTGGTGTAGCTCTCGATGGGTTCCAATAGCACAGTTTCTTCCCTTTGCCCTTTCAGTCGTAGGGGTGTTGATGGCTCCCCACTGTTCATAGTGTCTGTATGCCTCACCAGTATTGTAGGTCCCTTTAATCCTACCCACACCACCATAAATGGTCCCTGCATTAAGCTCATCTCAGCTAAGTATACCTTACTGAGTATGCCATCTGTTTCCTGCCAAGACCTTGACTTAAAGACTTCTGCCCCTTCCGTAAATTCCATGCTACAGAATTCATGAATGTTCCCTATCCTGAGAAGAGAGATCCCCTGATCTTTTTTAAGGGGAGTGGCCTGCCTTTTCTCAAATGCCTGACATACTCTCCATATCTTGGAGTTTCCTAAATTAAAGTTGCATTATTTTGTCTATATAATAAAACGGAGGTTTGAGCTGGTTCCACTTTGTTTTGCCTCTTGTTAGTCATCTTTCCTGTAATTGCAAACTCAGTTACACTGCTTCCCTCCCATTGAGCTATTTTCAGCTTGCCTTACCTTAAACACTTAATCCAGCTCCATGAGGAAGATAGTTCTTGACACGGATTCAATCACCAGTTCCTCACTATGTTATTCCTCCAGTATCCCCATCTCGGTGATAGAGACCACTCATATCTCAAAGTGGTCATCCCCAAATTCTCACTTGCCCTCACCTATACATTATCCATTAGGCTAAGTGCTGTGGGATCTAATTCCTAAATATCTTCTTTCAGATTCACCCATCTGCTCAAGCCCCACAGTTAACTACCTTAGTCAGGACTGGATCCTTTTACACCTAGATTATGGAAATATTTCTAGTTTCTCCCGATTGTCCTCACTTTTGTCAAACTGACCTTTGAAAAAAACACAAACAGGTTTATGTCACTTCCCTTTCAATGGTGCTCCTTTAGGATAAAATCCAAACTACTTATCTTGGTATAGAAAGCCCCATGGAATCTGGGTAGTATTTCCCTTGTCAGCTTCATTTTTTTTTTTTTTTTGCCACCTCCATTTTTACAAACCTATTCATTGCTTTCATGATGGTGCCATATTCTTTTCATGTCTCCATGCCTCTTGGTTCCCCGCTCTTTTGTCTCATTCACTCTTGCCTTTGCTGACTAACTCTTCCTATTCATCTCTCAGATTTATCTTAGGCATCATCTTCCCTACGAAGTTTTCTCATGAACCTCTTTACCCCAAGTTGTTTTAATAGGTTCTCTGCATGATCCTTTAGGCCCCTCTTGTTCACTTACTAGCACTCAACACACTGGCAATTATTTACCTTCATGTCTGTCAGAGCCCACAACTAACTCTTAAGATGTGAAACTGTTTCTTCTTCCTTTTATCCTCAGCACTTAGCACAGAATGTGGCATGTAGTAGGATGCTCAAGAGATGTGTCCTGAATGAGTGAATAAATGAGTGAATGAGCCCATGAGGAAGTATATGCTTGAATTCACTCACCTCCGTAAGATCAATATCAGGACCTAACCTTCTGGAAATGGCATATAACTAATCAGCCAATCTTTGCCATTTCTCTCCTTCCAGGTAAGGCTGTACCCAAACCACTCTGGAGTGATTAACAATAGAAACAGATGAGCTGGCCTTTTAGGTCACGGGCTCTCCCTAATCCCTAAAGCTACAGTTATGGAACAATAGAGCTGGCCCGAATTAATGGCCGTTGGTGGGGGTGGGGGGAGCGGTAGACAAATTCTGTCCTTGGGAGACACCAAGTTCTTCCACACCATCCGTCAACCTTGAGCACAGATGGGATGGAGGTCAACCCTAAAAATACATCAGCCCTAGGTGACAGCAGAGCTATGTTCTTTCATGTCTAATTCATCCCAGATGGAGAGGAAGCATTTGATGAGCAGTCTTTGAAACAGGCAGAGAAACTTATATCATGTTCCGAATGACTATAGGGGCAAAAGGCCACTGTGGATTTCCTGGTTGATAAAAATGAACTCTAATAGAAGTTTCAATAAGGAGCCAGCAGAAACATCCTTGTCGTCATCATTGTGAATCCATGTTTATTGAGGGTACAACAAATGCTATAGTCTCTGCTCAGAACATTGGATGGACCACAATTTCTGAACTTATAAGGGACTAGAGGATTCGTGACACTATTTTGACGCCAGTCACCCAGGCAAAACACAAAATGAAATGTTATGAATATTGTAAAGCATAATCAGGAAGGGGTCTTAGACTATATGCAAACATACTTGATTCGTGTTTTCCCCACTGGGAGTCACCCGCCCCGTAAGCTTCCCCGCAACTGGAAAGGAAGAGAGGCAGGAGAAAATAGGAAGAGTCAAGGTATAGTCCTGAGAAGGTGACAAAAATTTGAGCAGTGGCACTCCATAGACGTTCGGAGATAGCAATAAGTCCCAGGGGGAGGGCCGTATGCGTGGAGTGGTGGGAACCAGCCCTGTCTGTCTCCTAGTCCTTCCCTGCACACAGGTTCTTACACAGCCTTTAAGTGATAGAGAGGAGCTGTAGGACTCTGAAGAGCTGCTTGATTGTGAAGTTACTTTTCAGGTGAGGATCTTCTCCTTATTTTGCATAAAGGAGCACTTTGGGACTTGAGGGCTAGTGGGTACTCACCAGCTAGGTAAACATTTGAGAGAATCATAGTTCTTGACGAATTCTGTAAATAGCCGCCGACCCGCTGGCTTAAACAAAAGAGAAAACGAATGACTGGTAAGTTAAAAAGCATGCAAACGCTAGGCTATACTCCTAGCAGGTGGGTAGCAAGTGGCCTTGTCTTAGTGTCTCTCTTTTTTTTTTAAGTTTTTGGACGTTTATCATTTATTCCTTTTTTGAGAAGCAGTACGAGTGGGGAGAGGACAGAGAGAGAGAGGGAGACACAGAATCCGAAGCAGGCAGGCTCTGAGATGTCAGCACAGAGCCCGACGCGGGGCTCGAACTCATGAACTGCGGGATCATGACCTGAGCCGCAGTCGGATGCCTCACCGACTGAGCCACCCAGGCGCCCCTTAGTGTCTCTTTTCAAGGCTCCCTTCCCTTCTCTTTCCCACCCTTTCCAATCTTCTGCCAAAACTCAAGGTTTGAGGCGGTGGTCAAGCTCCATGGCATAAGAATTGGTGTTCCTCATGATGCTCTCCGCCAACATGACAGGCTTGGGGTTTCTTCCAGCAAAACAAGAGAGCCAGGTGCAGATCAACATGGCTGCAGCTGCTGCACCTCCAGCACAGTAATAGGCCCAGCCAAGCCGACAGGTACCTGTAGAAATAGGGACAGAGATATAAAGGTTGGGTTGTCTTCTCATACATTCTCTTTGGGGTGTTAGGGTTAATGTGATAATACGAAATAGCAAATACAAGTTGGCTTCCTGTTTCCTCCTTTTCCTCTTGGGCTTATGGCTGGTATTTGCTTTAGAAAGAAGTTACAGAATTTTATTCTGTTACAGTAGGAACCTGGGGGTGGTGTGGGTGGTAATGGTGGTGGTGATGCTAATGAGAATGATGACAAGAGCCGCTTAATCACGTGTCAATAACTATGCTAAACTCCTTGGACATATATCTCATTGACCATTACAGTAACTATATGAGATAGACACTCTTATTGTCCCCGTTTTATATTAGATGAGGTAACTGAGGCACAGGTTCAGTTAATTGTGAAAAATCACACAGATGAACAGCGATAGAGTCAGGGTATAAACACTGGCTAATCTTGACTCTAAAGCTCCGCGTTTTTCACCACACTGATGTGCATAGACTATTTCCAAAGAATCATATTCTGCATCATCAGGAGATTTGACAGGCAAAACATCAATAAAAATCCCGTGCTGTTTACGACATGTCTTTGTCTTAACCTACCCTTGCATCATCGAGGGAAGAAACATGCGTTGGAATCAAGGCCAAGCTTGTGAGGCAGCAGTTTAAGTTTGAAGGGTAATAGGGGAGGTCACCTGTTCAAAAACATCCACTCTACCACCTGCCATCCTATCAGAAGTAGATACTGTCCTTTGAAGTATTTGTGCTTTCTCTGAGAATTTTCCCTCAGAAAATGTCAGTGCCCAAAGAGAGCGATTAATTTATAAGGGAACAGACTAACAACTAATTACTAAAAATCAAGTGCCTAAGCAAACAAGACTCCAGCAATTGGAATGGATGCCAGTGATAGGAAACTGCAGAGGGATCCTGAGAAAAGACATAGGTAGTGACCTTCACCTACCTCACAGTCTTGCAGAAAGCTAGGTCTAACTACAGTCAGTTGGAGATGTCAAGACTGATCTTCATGACAATTTACTTTTTAATAACCAATTTCTTCTGTTCACCTGGTGCCCAGTGAATGTTAATTTTACTTCTTCTAATTGACTAGTTGGCATGTCATATAAAGAGTCTAAGATGGTCCCAAGTTAGGCTGCTTTGCTCCTCTATTCGGGACAGCCTTATATATCCCGAAATTCTCACCTCAGAAATAGTGTTCCTTCTACCACCAAATTATCACTCATGCTGTCTCTCCTGCCAGAAACAGCTTCTTTCCTCTTATTCACCAACTCATATCTACCTTGGAACTCTATCCAGGACTTCCAAGAAACTTTCCTAGATTAACCCCAGTCGGCTCAAGTCACCTCAACAAGTATCCTACCAGGAGTTTGTCCATACATCCCTTACATGGGTGTACCTGTTGGTCAAAATTTTGGGAGGAAAATTTGCATATCAAATATTTTTCATCTACCCTTTATCCCCTTCTAGATTGGCTCAACAGTGCAGATGCATTAGCTTCTTTCTTGATGATAGCTCCCATATTGTATCAACAGTGGGTGCTCAGTGTGCATGATTTAGCCTGACAATACTCCAAAGGTGGGTACACTTACATTTTTTAACCCTCAACATCCAAACTTATGATTTAATTTTTTTATTAAAGTTACAAAACCGGCCATAGTATTGTTCTGTTTGTTTCTGGAATGTGCTACGATCCTTGTCACCATAAGGCCTATGCATAGTCTACTCCCTAAAATGCTTACTGCATGTAGGCATGTGCACATATACTTCTCACCACTCTTTTTGCCTAGTGAATTTTCATTCTTCAAAGCTCAGCCCAATCATTGATTCCTTAGTGAAGCCCTCCCTGACCTCCCTAGGTCAAATTCCTTCATCAGAGGCCCTCATGAGTACTGTGTATATTGCCTTCTATACTTGAATGAATGAATGGATCCCTTATCCCTTCCCATGGCAAATGTCAAACTTCAGTTCTTCAGCAGAGATACTGCTTTACCATAGATGGAGGCAGTCATATAACCCCCTGAAGTCACATGGCCCCACTGAAAATTATAGCGAAAGCCAGACTACAGTAGATAATGGAAACAATGCAATCCTTAGATAGATGGAGTGAATTTGAAAGAGAACCATTCTTAGGGAAAATAATCTAGCTATCTACAGACTGGCCTCAACATGAACAATGATGGGTGGGACTCTGGGAAGAGTAAACTGAAGAATACCACATTGAGGCAAGCAAACAATAAATTTGTTCCTTAACCACCTTGTCACGCCTCCCCTTGGACATACATACATACTCCCTCTCTTACTAAAAGTAGGAGGTTTTATATAATGCTTTGGGTTTCACAAGGTGAAAACTGTAGAGGCGGGCAAACCTTCAACTTCTGCCATCCCTAGGAAGAAGGCTGCAGGTTTTATTGTGCCCAGTTCACAGACAGGAATCGTGAGGCTCAGTTGATAGCCTTAGGAACTCCCTCCGAAACAGAGAGGTAGAGGCAAGGATCCAGACCAAGTCTCTCTACTCTCAATCTGGTACTCTGTCTGCTACTGTTGTTTTTTTTTTTTTTTTTCATCTTCTCAAAAGCCATTTTCCTCTTATAGGACCCTTGACCTACAAGCCCTAAAGAGGGGTCCCTAAATTAATTTGTAATAGATCCACCTGAGCTTCCCCTGTGACCCCTCTAACCGAAATCTCCTGTGCTCACATGGTAGAGTAGACAGGCGCCAGCTCTGAGGTGGACTAACTGTCAGGCAGCTTCCTCCTCTCTGGAATGCTCCCAATCTAGTCCAGACAAGGCATCCGAAGTCTCATTCTGTTTCTTCAGTTGCTTGTCAGCTCATCCTCCCATTAGAGTAGCGGGGACATTTTTATTAGATATATGCACCCAGGGACCAGGGAAAGACTTGTTTCTGTAAATGAAAGGAATAGATGCATAGCATGCCATTACCTCTAAGCTCTAGGCAGGAAGAAAGTTGACAGAGCGGGCAACTCCGGAGTGAAGACCTGGCTAGAAGGACTTCAACAGACCTTATTGAAGTCAGTCAGAACCGGGTACCACCGGGCGAGGATTCAGCACCAGAGCGCTCCCATTGCCACACCAAATGCACTCAGAGTTTCCATTCAGAGTCAGAGTCTTGGAGTCACAGCGTCACAGAGGCACAGACACTCCTATTAGGTAACTGAACAGCGCCGAAGCTACAGGCTGCTGCCACACAGGGAGCCAAGGAGAAATAGAGGAAATACACCTTCTGTCCAAACCTCTCCCCACAACCCTCCTTGTTATCTGCTTGAGGAAATAAAGAGGTTGCATCACTAGCATTGCAAAGGGGAGGCAGGGCAAGCAAACCTTTAAAGAAGCACGGCTTCAGGTTGAGAGCTGATGTCAATATTCACCTACTCCACAGAAACCTTGGACACTGGTCTGATGCCCTATAGAGGAACTTGCGCTTTCCATGAAAGGGTGCCTTTTAGTGAAGTCCCATGAACCATCACCAATCCCTAAATCCTACTCCTTGAAGCACTGTTGATTCTTCTATTCATCTGACAAATACATATTAAGTTCCTACTATGTGCCATACATTTTGAATACGCCATCTCATTTGACTCTCACAACAGCCATGATTATTTTCCTTAACAGCTGAGAAAATGGAGTCTCAGAAAGATAAATTACTTTACCAACTTACAAGTGTTCAGATGTGAGTGCCAGCACGGAACGTCCATGGTCATCTATTTCCATGCCAGAAGAATGGAGCCAAGGATACAAGTTACTATAATCCAAAGTATAATGCCTTCAACTAATCACTTCAACTTTCTGGATCTCAATTTCCTTTTTTTTTTTTTTAGCGAAGGGAATTTTTGCTGGAGAGATTTTAAAAATCCCCTTCCAACTCAGAATGTCCATTCTACTCTGAATGTGATCAATGTTTTAAGAGACATGCAGGAAATTCTACAGGAAAATC